TACAAAGAAATATACATGTGGCAGCTGATGCTGACGTCAATGTCATCTGATGATGCCAACTGCTTCCTTTCCACTTCGACACTTGCCACCTCCCTCACCCCTATGACCACTTGCCAACAGCTGCCCTCGTAACCTAGATAATGCATGCAACCATACAATGCAACACTGTTCGTTTCCGAGTATCACGTGATACGTAGTAGAGAAGCCGCCGCCACTCCCCAGTCCGCCCTCTATCCCAGCCTACCCTCTCATCCCTACCTCTTGCCTCATCTCACTCTTCTTACTCCACTTTATCTCCCCTACTGTCCACACCCCGAACATCCACATTGTTCGTTCCTTACCTTACCCAACCCTCGGAAACTACGGCCTCCCTGCCAGTGACCCCTCCCCTCCCCTTCCCTACCCCACTGATGCGCCGCCGCGCTGGTCAGCCGGTCAGCTTTCACTTCCTAGAGCAGTGCCCGGGGCGACTGCGGGCGACCTTCCGAGGCGGCCTCAGTTCCGACCGGCCGGAACGCGTGCGTACAAACGGACGGACAGACAGACAGACAGACAGACAGCTAGACAGGCAGGAGAGTAGGCAGACAGGCGGACAGACATCACAGACAGACAGGCAGACAGACTGACAGGCAAGGGGGCAAGCAGACGGACAGAAGTCAGAACAGAGCAGACAGACTGACTGGCAGGCAGTGAGAGACACAGACAGACATAAAGGTACAGACTAACAGATGCATATCAAGCGTCATATCTCCATAGCCGGAGTTGATTCAGAGGTCTAGTCCTCTCTCTCTCTCGATCAAGGATGTCACACTAGCCGGCTTCTAATTTGCATATGTGTATGAAAAAGTGACAATTACCAGTTAAGTGTTGTTAGTGAACGCCTGTATGGAACCATAAAATAGACCATGGTCCATGGTTATTTTCAGAATGTTTCAGCAGGTATGACAATGATAAGGCATCAAAAGTCAAAACATTGAGTTAACTTCAGGCATGACATTTAATGTCACAAATAATAACAATGTGTCCGTTTCGCCATTTTGGGCATGGGCTGGCTATGAAAAATCAATCTAAAATGTTCCATTCACATTTCACATATTTACTATTTTCATCCATTCCTTCACCTGACTCAGCCATTTCTCAATCCTTTGAAATGCCTGGATTGTCCTATGTCATCTTCCCAAAAACAGACATGCCCATTAACCATCCGTCTAAATCTCCCTCGCTATTCGCTGTCTCTGACACAGTGACGCAATGAGGGGCGTTCGCCAGCTGACGCTCTGAGGCGGCAGTCAGCTGATTGCGCACTCCGGTTAGCTGAGTAGCCGTGAGCGCCGATTGGCCACGGCTGTTACGTTGAGCGAATGGGTTAATCGAACCGTGCACATTGCCGTGATGGCAGTGAATTATGAATTCGTTGTGACAGACCATGAGCGAATCGCTCGTGATTGTGGCTGACTAAAAGCAGCCAGCACGTCGACAAACTGTCTATCGGACCATGAGTTCACGTTGCCTGTGCTAACGAAAAAAAAAAACGCATCAGAATAACAAATAAGAACACACAAAAACCTATAAACAATAAACACTTTTAAGTAACAATAGATAAGAAACGCTGTATAAAAGGTCGTCGCGTGGAATAACGTTTTCCATGGATTGTAGTGGTCAGGGGTGCGGAGTCAGAGTCGGAGTTGGAGTCGGTTGGAGTCGACAGTTCAGCCCGGAGTCGGAGTCGGAGTCGGAGCTGGTTTTTTAAAGCCAGAGTCAGGGTCAGAGTCGGAGTCACCAAAAATCTATCGACTCTTCTGCTGCCCGGGTTGGGGTCACGAGAATATCAGGTCTAAGAAGCATTGATATTTGTTCACCTCGATCAGCTTTGTTAAGTTCACTAGCCTCTGTCATCTGTGGTATTTTGAAAACTGATATCAATTCTCGACTTTTTAGTTAGTAATTTCAAGCATTTAGGAGCTACTTTTGGAACCATCGTAACACGTGGAAGAGCTACCAATGGTGGTTTTTCCCTAGAAGAATAACCACTAACCAGCTGGGCGCCTAAAAATTGACCTCACCTGACCTGACCTGACCCGGTTACCTACACGACCTACCATGATGCACAGACATGCCATACTGAGCCAACAGGGGCGCGGGAACTACTTTCCGCCTGGGGGGGCACACCATAATAGAGATTAACCTAGGGTACCCCCAAATCTAGTTTTCTCACCGGTTTTAGGCCACTTATTTTTCACCCCTCGGCTTTTTCAACAAAAAAAGAAAACATTTGCAAAAAAAGTGTTGTATTCCGTCTCAAAGCTGTGGGGGCACCGCCCCCACGGCCCCAGAGTTGGGGGGGCAAGCTGCCCCCACTGCCCCCCCGGCTCCCGCGCCTATGTGAGCCAATTCCAAACAAAGGCGAATGTTGAAATCAAGACCCCAAAATGTCCTAATAAAACCTCACTTCAATAAGGTCTTACAGGTTTTGATTTTCTTGATGTTCGGGTCAGGTCATTGACCTTACATTCGTGCCTTGCCTTATTTTCGTGCTGAACAGAAAGTGGTCGTGGGCCACAAGGGTACGCCGAGTGATGCCTGCGACCGCAGGCTCATCTACAGCAGCGACACCACACGGTGAACTACGAAAACTACGGCTTTGAAAGTGGCCGGCAGAGGTAAACTACATAATGGTTGCGTAGAATCGGTTCTAATGTCTCAAGTGGGCTATGAAAGATTAGAAAATAGCCCACTGCTCCTTTGACGGGTGCATAGGGCAATTATTTCGTTTTGAGGAACAAGGCTGTCCGACATAAGTAAGGTTTGTCAGTGCCACTGCCGAACAAGCACCATGCAAGCATGAATAAATGAATGAATGAATGAATGAATGAATGAACATAAAAACAATGAATTAACCCTCTCCCGCACATGCCAATTTCCCATCCTAGAACGCACATGGGGGGTTGCCACCCCCCCCCCCCTCCTGCGGCATTTTGTTCCTGTTGGAGATAGAGCTTCGCGGTAAAGACCAAAAAGATTCTTTGGGAGGAGACGAATCCAATAATACCCAGTTTTACCTTCCCAGGTCAGTCATTGACCTTCCAGGTCAGGGCAAACTAAAAAATGTTGCTGTTTTGGGTCACCGCTGGATATCAAGTGCGCTGCTTATCATATACCTACCGATGACGATGCCGTTTTCTGGTGCCAAGCCAGCTAGAACCTCTTTTTCACACTATCCGATCAGGTTTTTGCTGCTGAGGTCATTTCAGGTCAAGTTAGGTCAAGGTCAATGATATGTGTTTGTATGTCTGTGTGTGTCTGTGTGTATAATGATGTGTGCACCGATTGTTTATGTGTCCATATTACATGAAATCATGATCTGAGAAGCTTTTACCAAAAATGCAGTCAAAAAACTTCACGAAAAGAAAATTCAGCTTGCCTAAAACGCAGTCATTTTGGATGACCTAGGTTGACCTTGACCCTGACCTTGACATCTGTACATCGTCGAACAACATGTTCCATGATAAGTGGGAGGTAAGACTGGCAAAAAAAAAGACAGAAATCCAGGTGTCAAAAGCTCACAAGGCCCATAGCGAACGCAAGATTTTGAGAATTGGTCATTTGGGTCATGCATGACCTGAAAAAACAAGGTCATATCTCCGAAACCAAGCACCACAGAAACTTGAAATGTTCAGTAGACATCAAGAAAGGATAGAGAAGCAGCTATACGAAAAATCAGGCTTCAAGCTCTAAAGATGTTGAGTGCAGAGCAGAAAAACTACCTGGGGGTGGCAACCCTCCCCCCCCCCCCCATGTGCGGGCGAGGGTTAATAAAGTAATAAATGAATGAGTTTATGCATGAATTAATTAATACAAACGGAAATGAATGAATGGAAGTCGAGGGATATACGAAAACAGGAACAAAAGTCACTGGCATTGTTTAACGAAAACTGAGACGCTACTTGAGAAGCATCCACTACTCACCCAGGAAAACTATCCGCCGCTTTATGCCCATCTCTCCCAACTTTGTGCCTATTTCGCGTCTAGCTAGACGCGTCTAACTATAGACGCGTCTAGCTGGACGGCGGTTGCGTCTATCTGGCGACAGCTAGCTTTAGACGCATCTAGCTTGGAAGTCTCCGTCCAACAGTAAGACGCAAAGTTAGACGCCAACTTAGACGTCTGCTCAGTTAGACGCCAGTGGAAGTATCCACCCTTAAATCTTTTAAAATTAAGAAGTCATTAAAAAAGAAGCTGTTCCGAGCGTGTAAATCCTTTGGTCAGGTGCATATGAAAACAGGAACAGTATGAGGAGCTAACTAAGATGATGCTTATAGCCAAAAGCAGATGATAAATCGTCTAGTGGTAATGATTCAATGGCTCGAGAAATACGCCATACCTACCTTCCATGTGATTTATTTGCATATTTCCGTAATCTTGCCACTTTTGCAACATGATTGTTATCGCTAATCACCAGTGGTTTACATTTACTGATCAGGTATTAGAGGATTGTCAATCCATTATCAGATATTTATGTTTCATTACAACATGGTCTGTGCAATATTTAATCCATCGAATTGACGTTTTTAGAAGTGATTTCGCCACAACACTGCTGTGGGAAATATCTTCGAAATGTCACAACTTATCTACGCTACCATCGAAAGAATGTCGAAATGAGACGTTTAAACTTGATATGGAAAATGCACCGTTTCTGTATTTAAAAAAAGCTAGCCTGCATATGCGTTCAATCGTACAAATATGTCAACAGTTGCACAAACGTTTTACGAGTCTTATTAATGTGACAAGTGGATGCATTGTGTGTGTTTTCTTGAGGTTCAAACATCTCTCTCCAGTACGCACTTTTCATAACAAGATAATAACAGAAAATGCACCACACCTCATATCTACACTAGCAACTTCAACTTCCCTACAGGCCATTCTCCAGTCTCTCCCAGGAACACTGTTTCCAATTTACTGACACAATTTTCACCAACCACATCGGTCCACAGTTCTCCACTTTATGTCACCGTCCTACAGAGGCCCGCGTCACATATCTGGCCGGCCAGACACTGACTGGTCAGCAGACACTGTACACAGATCCGCGCCGCGCTGCAGAAGCCCGAGCGGCACTGCTCGTTGGCCGTACACGAGGTCTGGAGCGAGAACAGATCCCGGCACGCACCCTCCACCGTGCAGAACTGACCCAAGTTGCACTCGACGGTCCGTCGACATTGCACACACCTGTTGGTGGGGCCGCACCTCTGGGAGACACACTCGAGGTCGTCGCGGCAGGGCGCGTCGAACAGGCCCAGGGGTCGGCAGGTGGTCAGGGCGCAGAAGTAGTCCCGCGGACACTGCTGTAGGTGATGCAGTCCACGCAGAGCCGGCGGTCCAGGCAGATATCGGAGAACCTGCCGGTCCTCGGTGCAGGGCCGCAGCAGGCCGCGCCGGGCCTCACACCGGAGGTA